AATTACAAAAACACAATGCAATAAAGAAAACAAAAAAATACAACACAACCTCAAACTTTATATTATTTGGATTAATTTATTGCATTACTGCTTCTAATTTTGTAGGAAATATACACAACCTCAAACTAGAAACTTAATAAAATTCATTCTTAACATATTCAGATCTGAAAACTAATCATGGAAAAATAGAAATAAATCTTGGCATCGATTATATAGTTAAGGAGGAAGTACAATACAAGCTCAAGCAACTATTTTTAAATCTCAACAGGAGTCATTTATTCATACTTATTCAATATTCAATATACAGTAAAATGTAAAATGAAAGTATGCTATAATTATCAAACCTGTTGGGAGATTAATCCTAAAAAAAATTTAAATTATTAGGTTAAACCATGAGTTGAATTAATTATTTAAAAAAAAAAATATTGTTATGTTAGTTAAAAAGGAAAGTACACTGAATATATTATGGGAAGTATTTGATACATCAAATACAAATAATGCAACAAAAACCACATCTTTTATACCAAATAATCAGGAGAATAAAAAACAAAAAACCCAAACTCATCAAATCCAATAAATCAATAAATATCCAGCTGCCTCCTGTCTTCCTTAAAATTTCCAGAATCCACCCATACCTCTCTCCAAGCTCCTCTGTTCCTCTGTAAGAAGCTTTGATTTTTCATTTTCAAGAACACACAGCAGGAACCCACCATGGATCTTGAAACAGAAGAGCTACAATTCTTTACCATACCAGAAATCTTGAGAGAATCCATTTCAATCCTAAAACAATCACCAAAAACTTTTAAACTAATCACCCTTGCTTTAATCTTCCCTTTGTCCTTTGCAATCTTGGCTCACTCTCTTTTTACTCATCCTCTTTTATCGCAAATTCAAGATCACCCATCAAGGCAACACACTCATCAATGGACCCTTCTTTTAGTTTTTCAATTCTTTTATCTAATCTTTTTATTTGCCTTCTCTCTTTTATCAACGGCTGCTGTTGTTTTCACTGTTGCTTCTCTTTACACTTCAAAGCCTGTTTCTTTTTCCTCTACAATGTCTGCCATCCCTCGGGTTTTTAAGCGTTTGTTTATGACTTTCTTGTGGGTTTCTCTGTTAATGTTGGTTTATTATTCTGTTTTCTTTCTGTTCTTGGTGATTTTGATTATCGGTATTGATATTCAGAATGCTATTTTGGTTTTGTTCTCTTTGGTGGTGATTGGTGTGCTTTTCTTGGTTGTTCATGTTTATATTACTGGACTTTGGCATTTGGCTAGTGTGGTTTCTGTTTTAGAGCCAATTTATGGATTTGCTGCTATGAAAAAGAGTTACGAGTTGTTGAAAGGGAAGATTCGTGTGGCTGGTGTTCTTGTTTTCGGGTACTTGACTATTTGTGGATTGGTTTCTGTGATTTTTTCGACTGTTGTGGTTCATGGTGGAGATAATCATGGAGTGTTTACAAGGATTATTGTTGGTGGGTTTTTAGTTGGGGTTTTGGTGATTGTGAATTTGGTGGGATTGCTGGTGCAAAGTGTGTTTTATTACGTTTGCAAGAGCTATCATCATCAAGGGATTGATAAGACTACCTTACATGAGCATCTTGGTGGGTATCTTGGAGAGTATGTGCCTTTGAAATCCAGCATTCAGATGGAGAATTTGGATGCTTGAGGTGGTGGAAACAGACAGAGAGAGAATTGGTATCATGAGTAAGTTGTTATGTATGGAGAGAGTTGGCATCATGTGTAAGTTATGTTTGTAATCAACTTTTTTAAATTTGTCTTCTTCTCTTGTAATAAAACTGGAGAAGTACTTTTTTTTTTCTAGTTGTTTGTAATTAAACTGTCAATTTAACAATGATTCTATGTTGTTAAATCTACTGATTGTCATTGCTTAACATAGTTCCTCTTGAATTATATTTAATGGTTGACATTGCTTTAGTTGATACTTTGTGGCTTATAGTTCAGTGTTTGGGGTTAATCATTTGTGTTCAGTTTATGGTCTTAATAAGAAACAGGTTATGCTTGTCTCTTTTCATGTTGAAATTTCCATCTTTTGGATTTCTTCAATAAGAAGTTTTACACTTGCTCGACTTGTTGACACTCTCGTGATTGGCTTGTTGATGATTAATGATAATTTTATATTCTTGGACACGACGAAGTTGAAAGACTTTGCAAATATTTTGTCATGCTCATTTTCATTGTTTGTAGATATCAGTAGTATGGGTTATGGCTATAGGGACAGAATTAAACTTCGATTGCTTCAATAGTTTTGTGGCTTGAAAGCTGATTGATGACTGTTAGATAAACGTTTAGTCTTTGGAATTGGAGTCTTTTAAATGTTTTCTCTAGCGAGCCAAGATATATAAGCTTGCTTCTGTCCTCTTGTGTATTGAAGGTACATGCTAACATGCATCTTCGGTCTTATGTGGCATTATGAATAGTTGACTTAATATAGTGCTCTCTCTTTGAGGAACGTCATGTTCTGATATCCTATTTCTTTGTTTTGAATTCATGCATGTTTCTCAGTGACATGTTGGTTTTCCTTTCACCGATTGAGCTTAGCATCTAAAAGAAACATCAATTAGTAGATAGTAGCTTAGTAGGGCAAGTCATTCCTTCGAGTTCCATCCTAGTTTTCTTTTTGACGAATGTAGTGGATCACAAATGTGTGTTCTAAGACTGTCTAGTTGATCATCAAAGGGTGGTTATTTTTACTACTGTGTGGTTTTTTTTTTTTTTGTGGGGGGGGGGGCGCATGAGATCAGGTCTCATCAAATGATGTTTGGGACGCTAGGCACAGCCGCACAGGTCTGCTAATTCTTGATCACTTGTCTGTTCAATATGCCTCTTTGGGTTTGGATTATCATCTGATCATCCCTTGTGTACTCTCATGAGGCGTCCCAGCCGCACAGGTCTGCTAATTCTTGATCACTTGTCTGTTCAATATGCCTCTTTGGGTTTGGATTATCATCTGATCATCCCTTGTGTACTCTCATGAGGCGTCCCAGCCGCACAGGTCTGCTAATTCTTGATCACTTGTCTGTTCAATATGCCTCTTTGGGTTTGGAATATCATCTGATCATCCCTTGTACTCTCTTTTGTCTTTGTGCCTGGTAAATGATTTTGTTATTTTCTTTGCATGTCACCTACTTCTTGGGGAGTCAAATCCCATCTTCTGGACAGTATGAAAATATGCATGCTACTTTTTTTCTAGCAAGTGAAGGAAACATAAACAGGGATGCTAATTCTATTGCGTTTGCCTCTTTGGCTTCTATGTTTCCCGCTATCTCTATTTCTCTACAACATCTTTGAACTCCCTTTTCTAGCTTGTGCTTCACAAACTCGTGCAAAATCGTTCCTTTTCCTAACCTGGCCGATCAAATTCATGATTCAGAAAGTCTTCTTCTCATAGTTCTCCCCCCCAGTCTGTCATTGTTAGATTAAAAGGGTTTGTTGGAACACTTGTTCTCTAGATATCTTGGTGATTCATCCTAAGGTGTAAGAGATTTAAATGTCTTCTATCTCCCAAATATAAAATGAGGATGATAAAACCAGACACCTGGGCTTTTCCTTGCAATGGCCAATCGTGCTAGGCCATGGGCTGTTTTTAAGCACCTACCCGAACGCCATATTTTAGTGTTTGCTTTGCATGATTTTAATGTATTTTCTGCCAAATGCTTTGGTTTCCCATTTTGAAGGTGTTTTTGAACTTATGAATCAAGAAGCAGCAGCTGGAGATAAAGTTATATTACCTGATTGCCACCCTCAATTGTACTTTTATCAATCTATGCTAAAAATTGGTGTTGTGAGTCAAGATTTGACATTGCAAAATGGAATACAGAGATGAAAGACATCACGTAAATAAGGAATGCACATGACACGGGCCTTCTTCTCCCTCCAGTTCATGAATGGGAAGACCGAAACTGTCATTTTACATAAACCTCTCTATTTCACTCCAGGACGAACCACCAAGCAAAAGCCTTGGAACGAAATAGAAAACAGATGAAAGAAAATCACAGCGCATGCAAATGTCCACATTATCAGCTTTTCTCCGAAACCTTAACTAGGATGAAACTCATGGCTCGCGTCGTCTAAAACTGAGACAAAACAAACAAAAAGCGAAGAGTATAGGGTAAACAGAAAATTGGGTAGGATTGTTTTGGTGTCGAGACAAATAATGGTAGGCAATTATTGCAGAAACACATTGAGAGACGGAGAAAAGCAATTCAACAATGTGAACAGGATTTCCAAAAAGCTTGTTAGATGGAGCTTGATGATAAAACCAAGGTATCCAGCCCTTCCGCTGCCAACTAACCCCTTCCTTTCTACCGGTGTAAGCAAGCTGAATCAAGGAGATGGCCATGACAATGATTGACAGTATCATACTAATTAGCGCATACCGGGGTTGACGCTGCTGAGAAGACAAGTAATCAAGAACCGCAGTTGCAATCTCAAACAGAAGGTTCATAGCATAGAAGATTCTTCTCAATAGATCCTGCTTCAGGAGGGTATTATTTAATTACTAAAAATGAAGATTTGTATTTTGCTTTAATTGTAATATACATAGCTATTTTATATGAAGCAATATTGAGATGGTAGATTTTGACCTTTAGATTGAATCCATCTGCCGGTCCGTTGTGTGGTCGTTGATTGTTATTTATATCGTCTTCAACTGCAATTGCTACGAAGGATATCCTGTGCATCGAGGACGCAGGGGATGAATTGCTTGCCTGGTCAATGCACCAACACGTTGATTGGGAATGCCAACGTTAATGTTAAAAAACAATTTCGAGATGATAGTTTTAACCTGTTGATCGAATCCATCTGCCCGGTCATGTTCTCGTTGATTGTTATTTATATCTTTCTCAGTGTCGCTCTCACTCCTGAGTATCAAGGACGCAGGGGATTCAACTGCCTCCGATTTGCTTGCCTGGTGAATGCACCAACACGTTGATTGGCCATGCCAACGTTAATGTTAAAAAACAATTTCGAGATGGTAGTTTTAACCTGTTGATTGAATCCATCTGCCCGGTCATGTTCTCGTTGATTGCTATTTATATCTTTCTCGGTGTTGCTCTCACTCCTGAGCATGAGGGACATAAGGGATTCAACTGCCTCCGATTTGCTTACCTGGTGAATGCACCAACACATTGATTGAGCATGTTAACGTTAATGTTAGAAGAAAAGGCCCCAACAACGGTATAGAGATACAGCACAAATGGAATCATTATCAAGGTCTGCTAAATCTCGAAACTAAATCACAAATTCATGTGCACTTGACATCTTTGAGAAACATAGTTTTAGGTTTGGATTTTCTAGATCAGGGTTGTTGTTTCGAGCTCTTATTCATTAGAGTTTTGTCTCCTAAAAAAGGCTTTGAATCCTTTCAGAGAAGCTAATTTGGACAAAAACGAAGGTTTTTTTTCTTTTTTCTTTTTCATGTTTGTGCTAAGATCTCACTAATGGAAGAATATATTGAAATGCCAAAATTGTTCACACATTCAAAAAAATATACACATAAGTAATAGAATATGGATTACAATATAGCCTTTGTTTCTATTCAAAATGTATTGGCACAACCTAGCATGCTATAAACTCCCCCAATTCAGGTTCAAGTTACGGTAGTAGAAAAGTTGAAGGATGATTAGTGTATTAATGGCAACAACCCAACATACTAGATAGTTCAGCCAACTAAGAAAAGAGTTGTTGAAGGAAGATTGATGTATTAATGGCAACAACCCAGCATGCTATGGTAGTTCAACCACCTAAGGAAAAAGTCGCTGAAGGAAGATTGATGTATCAATGGCAACAACCAAGCATGCTATGGTAGTTCAACTAGATAAGAAAATTTCAATGAATTGATTGAACAAATCTTGGATTCAAAACAAGACAGAGCATATTCTAATAAAGCATATCTTGGAATATTAATACGGCTTTAATGTAATTACCATTTCTAAAAACCTTGGACTTATCCTGGTAGAGCATATCATGGAGACGTAATATCTTTACCTCTCCTTGTTTGTTTAAATAGAGGACGTGGTCTTTAGTATTTTGTATGGTGAAAAAACAAAAAGAAAATAGCAATTACTTCTATAATTGTGCTCACGTTTAGAGAAGCCTAACTTGATCATTCCATTCTTCCTCTTGTTCTTCTTTTTTCTTCTTGGTATCAAAGCTATTGTGAACACAATTAAATCCAGTATCTCAAAAAACAAGCCTCCAAATAACCATGACTTCACTCTCACTTAACATTGGAAATTTTATCACCCTTAAACTCAGTCCCACAAACTATTCATTATGGCATGAACAAGCCTTAGCCCTTGCAGAAAGCCAAGAATTGCTTGGTCATCTTACAGATGAGGATCCTGCCTCACCCAAATACAGCATACTAGATGCTAATGACACCTCAAATACAAAAACCTCTACAACAAGATTAACTGAAGCATACATTGCATGGTGAAAAGCAGACTGTCTCCTTCGAGGGTGGATAATTGGAACACTCTTTGAAGAAACACTTGGTCTCGTTGTGGGTTTAGAAACAACACATATTGTATGGGAAGCACTGAAAAATGCATACGCAAAAGACTCTTAAAAACGAGAGTTCACACTTAGACAACAAGTCACATATTTACAGAAAGAAGATGACAAAACAATTGGGGAACACATTCGTACATTCAAAGGCCTATGTGACAGCCTTGCAGCAATTGAAAAACCAGTTCCAGACAAAGAAAACGTATTTTATCTTCTCACAAGTCTCAGTCCTCAATATGAAACTTTTACTACTACCATGCTCAAACCACCAAGACCATCATACACTGAGCTTGTCTCACAACTTCAAAGTCTTGATCAAAGACGCAACTGGTTCTCTACCCAAAACACTCCTGCACTCACCCCTCCAATGGCTTTCTACGGACAACAACAACCTCTATATCCACAATCTTCTATAAGTTATCAAGGTCACAACAAACAACAATTCACCTCAACAGGAAGAGGATTTCAAGCACAACAACCAAAGAACCAAAACCATGGATACTTCTCTAGTCAATCAACACATACACAACACAGATGACCTGCCCCACCAGGACAGCGAAGAATGACATCTAATAAAAGAAACCTTTATCATGAAGAAAAATGTCAATACTATGGGATGGTAGGACATATTGCCAAAATATGTTGGTGGGTACCTAAAAGACCAACACAACCAAATAAAATACCACAAGCACTTACCTTGGATAATACAACAGTTGAAACAAAGTGGATTTCAGACACAGGCGCCTCAAACCACATGACAGGAACACAAGGTATGTTAACTAATCTTCGAAATTATTCAGGATCTGATTCAGTTCTTATAGGCGATGGCTCTGCTCTGCCAATAATTGGTATCGGAGACTCAAACATTAAGAAAAAAAATAAAGTCTTACCTTTTCCTGATGTCTTGCTGGTCCCTCATTTGAAAAAAAATATGCTCTCAGTAAGTCAACTAACAACTCAGTTTCTGGTTAATTGTGAATTCACTAACGTTAATTTTTGTGTTAAGGAACGACAATCAGGAAAACCAGTGATCAAAGGGAGATTCAGGGGTGATCTCTACATCCTTCCCACCTTACCGAAGCTTTATTTCTCTCATAGTTTCAAATTCAGCACCACAGATATTTGGCATCAACGATTAGGACATGCTCCGTCTTTTGCTTTACATTTCTTAAAAAATAAAGGGTTAATTGACGTTGTTGGCAAAATAAAATCCGAACATATTTGCGATAACTGCCAATTCGGAAAGTTTAGTAGATTACCTTTCTCTAATTCTAAACACTTAAGCTCTAGTATTTTTTAAACAAGTCATTGTGATTTATAGGGACCTGCCCCTATTTTATCTATTGGTAAATTCAAATATTATGCATGTTTAGTTGATGATTTTTATAAATATACTTGGATCATTCCCTTACAACATAAGTCTAACTTTATAAATGCTTATTTAGCCTTTGAACAATACGTCAACGGACAATTCAATAAAAAGAACAAGGTTTTTCACTTAGATGGAGGAGGAGAGTTCATAAACTCCAAATTATCATCACACTTCCTCTCTGCTGGAATAATACATTAGGTATCATGTCCGTACACTCTAGAACAAACAAGTATGATTGAACGGAGACACAGGATAATACGAGAACTCGAAATGACCATGTTATTTCATAGTGGTGCTCCACTGTTTCTATGGGTAGAAGCTTTTCCCACTGATGTCTACCTCATAAATTGTTTACCCACATCTGCTCTTAATTATGAAATACCATATTTTACACTTCATAGCAACCATCCCGATTACACTTCCCTCCGTGTGTTTGGCTCCAAATGTTTTCCTTACACATGGGATACACGGCAAAACAAGTTTGATCCAAAAACAGTCCTTTGCATATTTGTAGGTTATGGTGATAAACATAAAGGATACAAATGCTTTCATCCATCAAGCAGAAAATTTTTTATATCTCGCCATGTGGTTTTTGATGAACTTTTTTTTTCCTTTTAAAACCACACAGAAACAAAGCATTTAACCACCCACATCTTATGTTATAAGCATTTTTGACTCCTGGTTACCACAAATTCACCCCACACGTACTGCTGAATCAGATTCACAAGTATGAACACCATCAACTACTATTTCTCTGCCTCACATACCATCACTCACATTTGTCTCTAGCATTGTAACAGGTTCCTTCTCAGACACGGCCGGACAACAACAACAACTTCAACTTGCACCTGCGCTAAACTGCAAGTCTAAACTGCAGATCACACTTTATCTCATGGGTAGAAAGACGTGTCTGATCAAACCACCACACAAGAAACACCACAAGTCTAAACTACAGATCACACTTTATCTCATGGGTAGAAAGACGTGTCTGATCAAACCTTCAACAATCCTCCATCAGACATACAAGTCAATCCACCAAGCATCCAGACATGGCACAACCCATCATCTCCTATGATCACAAGATCTTAACGAGCCAACCCGGCATCTCCAATGATCACTCGATCAAAAACAGGAACTATCAAACCCAATCCCAAATATGCTTGATTTCCTCTGTATTCTCAGCTAGTATTCCTCATGAACCACATAACACATGAGCTGCTCTATTTCACCCTGGCTGGAAAGCAACAATGGATGAAGAACTCGAAGCCTTACATAAAAATCAAACTTGGAAGCTTGTTCCACATACCTCAGACATGCATGTAATTGGTTCAAAATGGGTATTCAAACCAAAACTCAAACCCGATGGTTCATTAGATCGCCTTAAAGCTCGAGTAGTGGTAAAAGGGTATCATCAAGTGGATGGTCTGGACTACACCGAAACCTTCTCTCCAGTTATCAAACCAGGAACAATACGAATGGTCATCACCATAGCTCTTGTTAAAAAATGGCTCATGCATCAACTTGATGTAAAAAATGCATTCCTTCATGGTTTGATTTCAAAACACATATATATGGAACAACCTCTAAGAATGGTTGATCTTGCATATCCAAAACATGTGTGCAAGCTTCACAAAGCACTTTATGGTCTCAAACAAGCACCTCGTGCTTGGTTTGATCAGTTTAGTATTTTTCTTCTTAAATATGGTTTCTTTTGTAGCCTAGCCTACGCTTCCTTGTTTATCTTTCACTCTAACCTTGGCACACTAATTCTTCTTCTTTATGTAGATGATATCTTGCTGACAGGTTCCTTCACAACGTTAGTGACCTCTTTCATTCAGCTTTTAAGCACAGAATTCACGATGAAAGACTTGGGCCATATTCATCACTTTCTTGGCATTGAAATATCAAAAACTTCAGCTGGACCACACTTGTCCCAATCTTACTATTCTCTCACCATCCTGGAACGAGCCAACATGGTTGACTGCAAGCTTATGAGCACGCCCCTTGAAGCTAAAACCAAGACCTCATCAAACAAAGTCTGCTTGAAGATCTAGGTTATTACAGAGGACTAGTTGGAGCTTTACAGTACCTAACCCCCACAAGACCAGATTTCTCATTCAGTGTGAATTATGCTTCACAATTCATGCATGCTCCCATAACTGTGCATCTAAAATTGGTTCAGAGGATCTTAAGATATGTTAAAGGCATACTTGACTTAGGTTTGCATTTCACTGCCAATACAACACTTGATCTTTATGCTTTCTCTGATGCAGATTGGACGGGGTGCCCCACCGCAAGACTCTCCACCACAGGATACTGTACATTTCTAGGAGGAAATCTCATCTCATGGTGTGCAAAGAAACAGCCCACAATCTCTCGATCCAACACTGAAGCGGAATATCGAGCAATGACAAATACAGAAGCAGAACTCACATGGATGTCATTTATCCTTAAAGATCTCCAGATTCCACTAGCATCTACACCAACTCTCTACTACGATAACATAAGTGCTCTTCACATGACAATAAATCCAATGTTTCATGCTCGCAACAAACACATCGAGTTGGATTATCATTTTGTGCCTTATCATTTTGTGCCTGAACAAGTTGCACTTGGACATCTCATAACTCAACATATTTCCACTACAGCACAAGTAGCAGACCTCTTCACTAAACCAATGTCCAAGGCAGCAGTCAATCACTTTCGAACCAAACTCTGCCTCCGACCTCGGCATAGTTTGAGGGAGGGTATTGGCACAACCCAGCATGTTGTAAACTCCCACAATTCAGGCTACAATAGTGGAGAGACGTTGAAGGATGATTAGTGTATGAATGACAACAACCCAACATATTATGGTAGTTCAGCCAGCTAAGGAAATAGTCGTTAAAGGAAGATTGATGTATCAATGGCAACAACCCAACATGCTATGGTGGTTCAACTAGCTAAGAAAATTTCAATGAATTGATTGAACAAATCTTGGATTCAAAACAAGGACAGAGCATATCTTGGAATATTAATATAGTTTTAAAGTAATTACCATTCCTAGAAACCTTGGACTCATCCTGACAGAGCAGAGCATATTATGGAGATGTAATATTTTTACCTCTCCTTGTTTGTGTTTAAATAGAGGTCCTGAGTATTTTGAATGGTGAAAAAACAAAAAGAAAATAACAATTACTTCTTTAGTTGTGTTCACGTAGTTGTGTTCACGTTTAGAGGAGCCTGCCTTGATCATCCCATTCTTCTTTTTTCTTCTAAATGGACGTTATATGTAGAATATTAAGACTTAAATGAAAAAATCACTAAATCCGAGGGATCATTTCGAGATTTGAGAGGCTCCCACTGGCACCTTCTAGTTGTAAGGAAAAAAAAAAAACCAAACCTAAGATCTGATGTGCCATTGTCCATTTCATCCCAGCATTCTCTTTTCATGTAAACACATAGGAACGCTACATGCTGAAAATAACAACTATATAGGCCTAACAAGCATATCGATATGAATTGGATCGGCATGAGAACAGGGTTTTTGCAGGCAAGGGGATGGAGTATATATAATTCTTCAGGAGAGGATAAATAAGACATACTAGTTCAAGATATGTATTGCGTTCGTGACGCAGCTTTTCCCTTGAGCATTCCAGATGCTCTGCTGTTTTTCCATCGCCAACGTCCAACCTCCAATTCCAAAGGGAAATTTGAAGTGTAGAAGAAGAACGAGAAACGAAGGCATTTATGCACAGGTTTAATAAACAAGGATTCTAGAATTCATTAGTTACCAGTAGAAGAAAGGTTGGCCACTCCCGACAGTCATCCAGATCTGAAAGTAAAAGTTTAAATTGCGTCCAACCCGATGGCGTGGATCAATCTGTAAAATAACATTGTTTGATAAATGGTCTTAACCAAAAACTCAACGATTTTACTTATAAATTTAAATTTCATGGGGTTGAAAGAAGAAGCTTTTCGTGCTTCCTATAAGTTGGATTTAGCCAGATCAATTTAATTTACTCGTGAAAACACAAGGAAAGAAAGGGTACATGCCATAGAAAACAGTTAACTTTAGTAGAATAATTAAGGTTTTCCACAAGAATGTATGAACTCACAACTTCCAGCCAACGTTGCAAGGCTCCTTTCCAGGTCTTCCAAGCCTTCGGATGCTTAGATATCCAATGCTGCAAATGAATGAAAGTTAATAAAAATCTCCTAGCAAAAGCACCTTTACACAAAGCTAGAGTAAGACCCTGTTTATGTTTATATTTTAAAAAAAATTATTATTTTTTTTCTTTTTTTTTCAATTTTTTTTAATATGTTAATATTAAAAATAATTTTTAAAAAATAAAAAAATAATTTTTTAATATATTTTTAAATAAAAAATATTTTAAAAAACATAAAGGGTTAAGCGTAATGAGACAAGAAGGGTGATCAATGCAAAATACGCGCGCGCAGCAGAGGCTGTCATGTGCAGCCTCGGTTGGGCTGCCATCCAGCCAAATTTCCTAGCCTTATCATTCTAATCTCCGTTGCAAGCCGACGTGACCACTATATCATCGCTTGTCATCACTTATCTTTAACATCACGGTCTGGTCTATGATTTATTTTTGTTTTTGTATTTTAAAAAAATTCAATTTTTATTTTATTTTTTTGTTTTGAATTATTATTTTTGTTTTTATATTATTTTAATCTATTAATATCAAAAATAAATTTTAAAAAATTAAAAATATATATATTTTTAATATAATTCTGAAAAAAATATTTTAAAACATAATCATTAAACACAATTTACTTCCTTACAACAACATGCTGCCCTATTTTCTTTCTAATTCTAAGATATCTATAAATAACAAGAATAATCAGGTGTAAAGATAATACTCTTTTGAACAACAAATAAATTACCAGAAAAAATCTAATACCATTAGTGAAGTTATGTACTTCAAGATATATTTTACTATAATTACTATATTATACCTTCATTATTTAATCTTTTAACTTGGTTTATGAGGTAATATAATTTTTTTATTATGATATAAATATTTTTTTAAAATTATATAAAATCATGTTAATAATTATGTTTCATAATACATGATAAAAATATTTATTTAATCCTTAAATAAAATAATTAAATGTCTCCTACTCAAGAACATTTTTGTATTTTTATTTTTTATAGAAATAATATAATTATTGTAATATCTTTAAAAGATAAAACCAATTAAACTCTCACTCAATGTTTGTTATATCATGTTATTTTGTTTTTATAATAATTTTTAAGGGTAATAAGAGACATTGTTGTATATATTTATTAAATATAATTTTTTAAAAAAAAATTGACAGTGCCACATAATTCTATCAATATATAGAAGGCTATATTGCCACCTAACACTGCATTTTGAGGTGACATTTAAAAGGTGTCAACATCCTCAACTTCGTGAGGTAGTTTGTGTCACACTATTCACGACAATTTGACGTTGACAACCATTTCTTCCCCCCTCCTTTCTCTCCACCTAGATTTTCATGGTGACCCCTTAAAAATTCAAGAATAGCCCTTTAATTTGCTGGTTGTTCATATTTGATCCCTTTTTTTATTACTATTTTTTTAATCTTGAATCATCTATAAAATTGGCTAGCCTTTTCAATTTCACCTCTTAATTTTTCTTATCTTTCAAATTTAGTTCTCATTCTTTTGAATATTATTTTTTTGTCTTGAGTTATTTTTTAAATTGATTTTTTTTTATGATTTCACCCTCCTTTACTTTTTTTTCTCTTATCAAATTTAATCTATGTTCTTTTGATTGCTAATTTTTCTGCATTGAAAAGTTTTTATTTGAGATCATTTTTTAAATTGGTTTTGTTTTATGATTTCACTCTACTTTGTTTTTTTCATTAAATTTAATCCATTTTTTTTTATTGTTGATTGTTTTACTTTGACAAGTTTTTAAAAATTTTATTTTTAAATTGGCTCACAATAAATTTCTCGATTGGACCCGAGCTTAAGATCTTATGGGTTATGAGTTTTTAAGATTTGACCATGTTTAAAATGTTTGCTTGGTTCCTTAGTTTTTACATGTGTTTTTTTCATTTTCAACTCCTTTGATTTTTTTAGTCTTTAAAATCTAGTTATTATTACTTTCATAGCTATTTATTTAATTTGAGATCTTTTTTATTTTTTTCATTAAATTATATCCTCCTTAAGTATTTTTCTATCAAATTTTATCTTCACTCTTTTTTGCATTTTTTTATTATTAGTTTCTTTTATTGATCTCAACCTTGAAAATTAAACTAGTTGAGAATTATAGTACTTCTTGATTGAATCTGGGTAAAACATCTCATAGGATGTGACTTTTAGGCCCTATTTGTTTGTTGAAAAGTAGTTTTTTTAAAAAGTAAATAGCATGAAAGTGAATTATTTTTTGATGTTTGATAGTGTAATGAAAAATAATATTAAAAAACATTTTCCAATGTTTGGTTATGTTATGAAAAATAAGCTGAAAAATAACTTATTAATGTTTTATTTTTCTAAAATTTATTAACATAATGAGGAACAAATCTTACAAATTAAAAAGTTCAATGAGAATGAAATTAAAAAAAATCATAAATTATCTCAAATAAAATAAATAATAATTAAAATAATAGAGATCAAATCTAAAAAATAAAAGATGAAGAAATTAAAATAATAATATTAACATTTCATAAATTATTTCAAATAAAATAAGTAACAACCAAAAGAATGAGGATCAAATTTGATAGATAAAAAATTTTAATAAAAAAATAATAAGGAAAAAACAAATAACAATTATAAAAATTAAATTTTAAGAGATGAAATTAAATAAAAAATATTCAAAATAGTATTATATATAGCAATCAAAAATTTGAGGATGAAATTTGATATAATCAACAAATAATATGATATTTTAAAAAAATTTACAACTTTCAGAAAGTGTTTTCCACCCAAATTTTTTAGGAAAACACTTTCTTGAAAACTAGAATTTTTCTTTGACTAGAAAGTGTTTTTCGTTGACCAACTTTTCTAATGACAAACAAACACAGAAAAGTTTGGAAAATGATTTTCCGAAAATAATTTTCCAGAAAATAAACGTAGTCTTAAATATTAGATTAGGTTTAAGAAATTTGTTGGGTTTGCTATTGATGCTTTCTTATTTTTTATCTTTTTTTATATAAAAAAATTGTTATGTTATTTTTTTTAGTTTGATTCTATTAGGTTAGCCTTTACATTTTTTTTATTTCACTTGTTGTTATTTTTAAATCTATAAATAATCAATTATATTTCAAATGATTTTCAATTTCACCCCTTATAATTTCTTAATATTTAAAGTTTGGTCTTAATTCTTTTAATTAATACAATTTATTTTGTTTGGGGTAATGTATTTTTTCAAGTTTCATCTTCTTGTTTTTTTCATATCTATTTTTATCCTTATTTTTTAGTTGCTATTTTTTATTAATATTTTTTTTATTTCACCCTTCAAAATTAAATTTGTTAAGAGTTAAGTTTCTTGATTGGATCCAGATTTAGGATTTCTTAAGTGACTGATCTTAAAAATTAAACCAGATTTAGGAGGTTTGTTTGAGTTTACCTTATTTTTCTTCTCATTTTTTAAGTTTATGTTTATTATTTTTATCTTTTTATTTTTTGATTTTTGTATTCTTATTTTTTGGGTTTGCTTCGTACGAGTCTTCTCATTCATGTTTTAAATATACATAATTTATCTAAAAAAGAAAAGGAAAAAAAAAAAAACCTGAGTTGATGATGTCATATACGAGTCAAACTTCCAACTACAAGAACCAAAATCTCAAATGAATGGAACATCCAGATAAAAATTCAAGCTTGAGATTATAGTATTGAAAGAAGATAAATTAATTTATTTATATCACTTAATTTTAATGCATAAATATATTTCTGGTTTTTATGATGCATGTTACCTCCCCAGGAAACTTTGATCGCCCCAGATCAGATAAAAAAAATGTGAATTCCGAGAATAACGAAGTAGTGGATCAATCTGTATGGGAAAAAAAAAAACATAGAGTTAATCTGTAAAGTAGTGGATCAATTAATCTTATTTGATCCAATAATTTAATACGAGGTTTAATTAACACAAGGATTAAATTGACGAATTGATAATAATGTGTGTGTGTGTGTGTGTGTGTGTATTGAAACGTAGAAGTTTGCATGTTGGCTTACAGTTTCCCAACAATGTAGCAGGGCCAGTTGATCTCTGGATAGATTACCATACTGGAAGCTCAAGAAAAGTATTTTGTAAGAATAACCAGACTCCATTTTTAAACAGTGGAGAGCAAATCAAGTACCTTCTCAACTCTTGTTTCTGCCCATTTCAAGAGTGATCCGATATGTTTTTCACTCTCGATGTTTACAGATGGAACTGGACCCATTTTTTGGGTATGAGACAGGGTCGTTTGCCTGCAAAAAGTTCACCCTTCACAGAACTCACATCTCACAGAACAATCACATGAAAACATGGATCATATATACAAGACACAAACCATAGCAACTCAGCCGCAATTATACTGTCTGCTAGGTTTCGTCTGGTCCGAAAACCTCTGTAGTGCTTTTGAATCCTAGTTGCGGCGGCATGATCTCTTTCAGGGCTGTGGCTCCAAGAATAAGTCGCTGTTTTAGAGAGTAGTAATGCCCGTTATGCTTTTTGTTAGACAATTGAATGAATAAAACATAAAATTAAAGATACAGACACCATAAAAAGTATTTGGCAAACGTGTGGGTAGTTGATTTTCTTAAGAGTAAAATACATAAACGAAGAATTTACCGCTAATTTCTGCTTCTTCTTGGGAGCTGCTTGTATCATTGACAATTGAAGTACTGTCTATAGTTTCTGCATCATCAGAAATCAACAATAAATGGATATAAGCTAGATATAACAAAAATTGTCAAAACTATATATATATATTTGGATAATATATAGCCCGTCGTTGCCAAAAATGTATTGAGGTAGCTAGATCCATCGCCTACAGGAAAGCAGAAAACAGCCAAGACATCATCATATTTTTCTTTATTTGAGAATCTGAATCTTATTTGAAACGGAAAGGAAAGAACCAGATGCAACGCTCTCCATGTCTTCTTTTCTCTTCCCTTAGCAAACTAAACTTTTGGAAAGTGTGGAGTAATGCCGACCCTATGAAGGCTCAACTTTTACCACCCAAGAATAAATAATGCAGAAGGAAAGAGCTGAGAAAGAACGCGTAACCAACTAACCATAGAAAATTTTACGAGCCCTTTAAAGTCAAAAAACGGACTGGCCTTTCACGGACAAAATATTGAAAAAATAATCAAAGCAAAAACAAAGAGTCGAGCAATTCATGTCCCTTATGAAGAAAAAAAATAATGCAAGAAGACTAACACAGTGAAGGACAATTACAAGAAAGACTGGACTGTAACCAGCCCGAAATTAAAATAATAAACAAAACGGAATGAAAGAGTTGATGAGGGATATAGTTAAATTAGTAAAATTATGGGTTTATTTTTCAGAAAGTACATACAATTAAGTTAGTTCGGATATTTATGATTAAAAAAAAAGAGCAAGAAGACTGACACTGAAGGACGAGTAAAAGCAAACACGTCAATGTGTAAAACAAGACTGCGTTTTTAGCGGTCACTACACATATAAGGCGTGGTGTTTATGATTGCTGCTTTGTCACGCAAGGCATATGCTAAATATTTGACTGTTTTGCTGCGGATTAGATTTTAAAAAAAAAAAACTATATCCACGAATTTTTTTAATATGTTTTTAAAATTAAAAAAGTTTCAGTAAAAATAATATGTGTGTATAAAATAAATCAAGAACTATATATATTAATAAATAAAAAAATTATAAATAATAACTAAAACTAAAAATAAAAAATAAATAAAAAATAAGTGTAGCTCAAGATATTTAATCTCATAAGATGGGACATTTACGTGGTTATATTTGCTAAATTTATTTATTAAAATAATTTTTTTATTCAATCAAATTATAGTAGAAATAGACATAAATTAAATTGATTGAATAAAATGAAAAAGGAAAAACACTATTCAAGGTTGGACAATGCACATATATTATAAATATTATCTAAAAAGGAAAAAAATTATTTTCAAAAATAAAATTTATCAATACAAAAGAAAAAAAACAACTATAGATGAATAAAAAAACTATTTAGAGTTTAAATGCATAACTAAAAAATACATGTCATTTAAAATATAATCTCTAAATAAAATGAAAGATAAAACAGGTATTAATCTACATATAAATATAAAAAAATAAGAACAGAATTAATTTTAAAAAATAATTTATAAAAAAAACATTTAATCTTGCACGATAAGATATTTATACAGTTGTATTTGCTAAATTTTTTTATTCATTCTAACGATAATATAAATAGATACACAAATTAAATTAATTAAATAAAAAAATTATTCAATGTTGCATATATTAGAAATATTATCTGAAAAGAAATTTTTTATATTTTAAAAAATAAAAATCATCTATACTAAAGATAAAAAAAAAAAACAATTATAGATGAATAAAAAACAATTCTTCAGAATTTAAATGCATAACTAAAAAAAATATTTGTTATTTAAAAGAAGTTATCTAAACAAAATCAAATCTAACAGATAAAAAAAATTAAAAAATGATGAAATTAAAATAATAATAATTATAATTTTATAAATTATTTTAAATAAAATAAATAACAATCTAAAAAATAAGGATCTAATTTGATAGATAAAAAATATCAATTAAAAAATGATAAGAAAAAAACAAATAACAATCATTAAAAAAGGATCAAAGTTAATATAAAGATAAAATTAAATCAAATTCTAAGGAATGAAATTAAAAAAAAAGATTCAAAATAAAATATATAGCAATCAAA